ATATATATATATATATATATATATATATATATATATATATATATTCAAAAAATTATAATTCATTTGAACTTATAAGAAAAAAATAAATAAGTAAACTATAAAAGCACAAATTCGTAAAAATTGTTTATAAAAAGATTACTGAAAAATAGTATTGTCTTGATCTCATAAAGGACCACCAAATTCGAAATTATTGCACTCATAAGTTTCAATTAAATATATATGGCGCGAAATAGGCAAAAAGTCACATCGTGTTTGTGTAGTAGGTAGGTGAACGCGGGAATTACCATTATCATTCAACCCTACTGCTCGAAGGTGCTTCAAAATTCAAGGATAAAAGGTTGAAAAGGAAGAAGCTGTAATTGTGAAGATACCCTTTTAATTGTCAATAAAAAGAGATCATTGTACATAATTGCACCTTTAAGTCTTTTTTCAATCCTTTTTGACAATCAAGTTTCAAAATCTTCTAGTGTTTTAGCAAATTAGTCGTCAACTATTGATGTTGTCTTATATGACAATTAAAAATGAAGAATAGAAAAGAAAAGCAAGAAGAGAATAGAAATTTTCATAGTTTAAAGTATCGAAAATATGATTCATGTCAAAATATTTTAAAAAGTTTTAGATTGGTCCATCGAATTGCAAGTAATCCATTTTAAACTAATCCATCTTGCAACTTTGCAATGATTTGGAATGGAGTTCGTCGCTCTGAGCTCTCATAATGTATATAAAGTTCGATCATTTTATTAAAAGATGAACGAAGATGTAAATGTAGATCCTACTATTGACCATATACGAAGGACTATAATAGTCTTCATTTTATCCAAATTGTGAATAATACTTTCGAGTCTCAAGTAAATTACTCTTTTTTTTTTAATCTTTTCCCCTAAAGAATTACAGTCGGCCGAATCTACAAGTCTATTCTAACTCTCAACAAATTCCTAGAATTTTAGGTGGTATTGGAATTGTAATTCTTTCCACTTCTCGAGGTATAATGATAGGCGGAGAGACTCGACTTGAAGGAATCGACGAAGAAATTTTGTGTTATATATGGTAATCCTTTTAATATCCAATTAAATACTTTTTCTATTTTCTTTTTCTCTTAAATCTGGATGAACACAAGCTTTATATTAAGGATCAATTCAAAACAAGGAAAAGAAAAGAAAGCATAACTTTTCTACATTATTATCTCACAAAAGAAAACCATTATAAAATTAAGGCTGAAGTTATAAAAATAAATATTTTATGAAGAAGAAAATCTGCAATTATAGAAATGTGTGTCTAGGAATTCGAGATAATTGAACAGCAATGTTTGTAATTGAGAGGACAAGTCTTGGACAAACAGAGGTCAAATTAGTCGGACAACAAACATATTTCCCTTCAAACAGTGGTAAGAAAATATTATACTCCACGCCCTCGTGTAATGTTGGGACTGTCAGTGGCGTGTTTGTATCAGACAAGACTTAGATGTATAACATAAAAAAATTAAATTTTTT